TTATTAATTCGAAAACACAAGTTTGGCTGAACCTCCTTAATCTTTAAATTCATTCTTTTTCCTATTTATTTGTATGTGATGATATGCTATTTATAATCCAGAATCTTCTGCAACATAAACAAACAAAGATAATTAAATTCATGTCATGTAACATAAAATACATAAAAAAAATTATCATATAATATATGACCACCTAAATCTTTGGTGCATGGAACGTGCAATTAGTAGAGTGCTCATTAAGAAGAGAGAGAAAGAGTCAAATAAATTATTAAGTAATTAAACTTACAATTAATTTACTATTGATTAAAGTTGAAAAAATGTAGCAGAAAAAGATGTTGATCACATGAAACATAGCTTACAAGATAATGATAGATTAGACTTTAGAGAACGTTGACATCTCAAAATTTTCCATCCAAGCAAGAATTGTACTCCTCGAGTCTTAAATTATCTATCGTAATTTTCCTTTATACATTCCTTAAAAAAAATACCTTTTCTATTATATATTAATTGTTCTAAAATACTTGTTACTTTACAAAATAAAAAAAGAATCATTTTATCTTAACAATTTATAATTCCTTTTTTAAAATGTAAACAGGTTTGTAAAGTTTCAAAAGAAAAATTGAGTAAATTAGTAAAAATGTCTTTGTTTATGATTTATTAAGAAGCGTGTAAAAAATAAAGTGAACAACTAATACAAAACAGAGAAATATTAGTTAGGAGGCTAGGAAAAGTGATTTTATTAAACATTGATATTTGAACAATCATAACATCACTCATAATTGAGGTATCTTCAAGAACAATACAACCAATACGATTAAAATAGAAAAAAAATGTTTTACGTTTTATCAGTAACTTGAAATAACTACTTTTTAAAATTACGACACATAATTTGAAATAAACGAAGCACAAAAATAAAAGCACTATAGTCTAATATATATCCATACATATATATATTCACTAGAAAACACTCAACTTTTTCTCTTTTTATTAAATAGTACGTATTCTTTTTTGTTCATTTCTTTTTCAAGTCCAAATTCATTTCATTCAATCAAAATCGTTGACTTTTCATATAATTATCTTAATTTGGACCATTTGCTTAATTTTGGTCTTATAATACCAAATGCCCAACCAAACCAAAAAACCACTCCCATAGCCATAATTCTCTTAAAAAAACATCATGAATAACACCACCACCACCCTCTCCGATCCGAGTTCCAACACCGATGGGTTCCTCGGATCGGGTCATATCGGAGGATTTGGGTATGGGATCGGTGTCTCAGTAGGTATTCTTCTTTTAATTACAACTATAACCCTCACATCATATTTTTGTACTCGAAATCAAACGACAGAGTTACCACCAAGGAGAAGACATAGAATTATTCGAAGTACGTTACAACATGATCATGGTCAAGACGATAACAACAATTGTATAGTCGATATTATTGGGATCGACGAAAAAACTCTTTTAAGTTATCCTAAGTTGTTGTACTCTGAAGCTAAGGTAAATCATAAGGACACAACAGCTAGTTGTTGTTCAATATGTTTAGCTGATTACAAGAATAAAGATGTGTTGAGATTATTACCAGATTGTGAACATTTGTTTCATTTGAAATGTGTGGATCCTTGGCTTATGTTGAATCCAAGTTGTCCTGTTTGTAGAACATCTCCTTTGCCAACACCACAATCTACACCTTTAGCTGAGGTTGTTCCTTTTGCAACTAGACCTTTGGGATGAATTCACTGCTTGACTAATTCAGATTCATACCACACATAAAGATCGTAAGAGAAACACATGCTTCCGATTGAAGATTTAATTTCTACATTGGTAATGATATAAGTATCTTGATCTTGTTTCTTTGGCAATCTTTGGGATGACTGACTTGGCTAATTCAGATTCACACCACATAAAGCTCGTCAAGGATATTTCTTTCATTGGTAATTAATTACATTAGTTTCTTGAACTTGTTTATTTTTCTTATAATTGCTTTGTGTAAACTGTAGATTAATTAGTTTTTTTACCCCATTTTCTGAAAATTTTAGCATAGATGTAAATTATTAGTCCTTGAAAGGGAAACATTGATTAGTCAATTTCTTGATTTTTTTTGTGTGTGTTATTTGATTCTCTTTTTTTCTTCCTATTTCCTCTTCTTTTATGGATGTTATTATAAGGTATATTAATTAATTAGGAGTAAATTTTAGAAATAACATATATAATAGACATAATAAGGTTATATAATTATAGTTTCGATAATTGCGTTTCATAGCTGTAGTTTTGTTTGCTATGGATATTTCAAGTTATTTGTATATTTCGTTTATCCATTTGTATATTTCGCTTGTGAATATATAAATAAGGTAAGTATATACAAATTATGTATTTATACATTTATGATTTTTTCAGAACTCCGTTTGTATATTTCGCTTGCCAATATACAAACATGGTAATTTATTGTGAATTTTTCATAAATCATACAAAATAGTGAGGGTAAGCATATACAAATTAGGGATTTATACAATTAGGAACTGAATTAACAAAATTCTGATTTATACAATCAGGCGAATTATATAATTTTGGGTGAATTATACAAATTAAACAAATAGCAAAATTTAAGAAAACTGTGACTGCGAATCACAATTTTTCAAAACAGTAGCTATAACATTTCATATGGTTGCACAATTTTCCCATTAATTAATAGGTGGACTAAACAATTAGGGCGGTTATTGATTAATTAATTGCGTTAATGAAATCAAAACTAATCCCAGTATAAAATTATGAACAAGTAAATTAGTAGTTACAATATATTTGGTTGGCTGCATTTATTAGAAATATAACCTCTATAACATATATTTCAAATTTTGATGATATGTAAATTCATATTGTTAATTACTTGCATTAACGGTGACGAAATTAGAAGTTTTTTCAAAAATATTCAAACTTTAAAAAAGTACGAAAAAATTTCTCAATTAAGGGTATTCAATATTCAATATCGTTATAGACTTCTAAAAGCTAATATTTCACCTAATGTACTACTTTATGTAAGATAAAACATTAAATGAGGAAAAGTGTATTAATAATACAGAAAAAGCTTAGAGTAAACAATTAAAAATCATATTGAAGTAGGTATTTTGTCTAATCTTCCACCAAATGAATGATTGTTACATAATTTAAGTATAACTAATCTTCGAATCAATTTGACCACTTAATACTATTCTTTTTTATGGTCTAATTAGGGCTGGGCATAAAATATTGAAAATCAAATAGAAATTTTTGGTAATTTGATATTCGATAATTCGGTATTTGATATGGTATTCGAGAGTAAAATTTTAGAATAATGGTTTTTGGGTTTGAGTTTGGCATGAGACATTAGTACCATTTGTTATTCAAATTATTTATTTAATGAAAGTCATATATCAACATGTTTATTACTCAGTACGTAGTCAGTAGTACAAGTCAAAAGAAAAAGTTAAAGAATAAACATAAACAACCCAAATGCATATGTTTGTTTTAGTAGTATCAATTTGTTTTTCTTGATGTCTTCATACTTGTTGATCTTCTATTATATCGTGTCTCCACATTAAAAAAAATAGAAGTAATTGGAGAACTATTGTATTAACCTTGTAATACAATCGGCCAACACTTCAATATGGTATTACCAAATACCGTATCAAACCGAAGTTTAATGTACCGATTATAGAATTACCGAACTGAAATTTAAAATTTGGTCATTAATATCTACTTTTAACTATCAATTACTAAACCCAAAATTTAAAAATCCCAAACCGAATACCAGACGCCCATCCCTAGGTAGTTGTCAACAAACTTGCTTGTGATTTGTAAAAGGGAGTCTCCCTCGTGATGATGATAATCTGTTTTATTTTTAAGGGTGTGTTTTATACGAAGGTTGGACAAAATTTCGAAAAATAATTTCAATGTATATTTGCACGTCATTAACATGGGTTGTGGTGCACTGGTGGGAGTGCTTCACCCTTAATCAGAGATCTCGGGTTCGAGCTCTGGGTATGAAGAAAATTATGTTGGGAGCGTTACATCCGAATGAGCCTTGCAGAGCGCGATTCAAATTTAATCGAAGCTCTAATGTGGACTTCGGACTATATTTGCAACGTCAAAGTCCATCGCAATCCTTTATGACACTTTCACCCTGAAGCATATACCAGGGTGACTCAAAAGGAGAGGCTAATAAAGTTCCACCACCACAAAAAAAAAAGTTTCTAAAAAAAATCGAGGCTCCAAAAACTTTTAATTAATAGTGAATTTTTTCTTAGACAATATTGATTTTTTTTAAAATTAAAAAAAAGTTCATATAATTAATAAAAAAGTTTGTACAAATATTTTAGACTTTTGAATTGAACTTCTTACGATCTTTATATTAATAAATTAAATTTATGTAACAATATCCAACAGATTTCATTGTAATCACATGGTAAAATTTTATTAATTTAAAATCAAGGACTTTAATAAATATGATACTACTCCACGAATAACAAGTATAGAAAACAAAGAAGAAAGTTCCTCCTTTTTCTCCTTTTGCTATACTAGTTTTATCACAGTCTTAACCACACAAAAAACAATTAAAACTTTTGCTCATTGAGCAACAAATTTCCATTGTACTCTGGTGGAATAAGGCTTCTCTAACTTAATATTCTTGCTGAGATAAATAAATAAGAAGTCTGAGCGGAAAATGTAAATCCAAAAGTATGTGACGCGGAAGAATTAAAAAGAACTATAAGTGTAGTTGAGATGATCTCTAGATGAGAACCTTTTTAGCTGCTAGTGTATGAACCAAATAAGAGAACTTGGTCAATAAAATCTTTCCATATTCATTATAGTCTTGCAAAAAGAGAAAATTTTGAAATTTTAGTAATCTTGATATCTCATTCTCATTACCCATCTCATTTGACTACCAAATGAATCAGATTAGAAAATTATTATAATGTTGGAGTTACCATTAAAATTTTGTAGTGTACATGCAACAAATAAATCATTCTTCAAGGACAACAAAGCTATACAATAACTCTCAAAAGAGTAACTGAAGAGTAAAACAAACAAGTACAATCTTAACACATGCACAAAACAGAAGGTCTTAACAACACAATTACAATCTTAACAAAGGCTCAAAACAAAAGGTCTTAACAACACGAGTACAAGCGTAAGACAGGCACAAAATAGAAGGTTTTAATAGCACAATTAGAAGCTTAACACAGGCAAAAATAGAATGTCTTAACAACACAATTACAAGCTTAACAACCACAAGTCCTAGCCATAGCAGATACAAGTCTAATGCATAAGAGCAACAGTGTTAGTCACAATACCCACAGTGTTAACCACGGTGCTAGTTAACAAGTTTTTTTGCCTTTCCCTTTGCTTGGTTTGTCTCCTTAACCTTTCCCTTTGCTTGGTTTGTCTCCTTAACCTGTCAAATGCAAAGAGTAAACCATAAACCTTGTCAAATGTAAAAGAGTAAATACAATCATCCAACCTACTGAATTGACAAGTTAACTACAGAAATTGGTCACATCTGATTAAGGCGTGTTAAAGACGTGTTATTTCTTCACAGAGAATGAGAAGCTAGCCAAAAAGATGAAACAGAGACTCGTAACAATCATCAACAGACTACTAATCATGTCTTTAAGAAGCTGGTGAGATAAGTCTTGTGAGCTGCACTTTTTGCTACTTCTGCTTCCAACTTCTACTTCCAAATAGGAAAATAGGCACCATCAAATATGTTGATCTCATTGGAAATTATAAGACGACCAACATCTTATTAAGAATTTATAAGATCCAATGTTTATATCAAATTAGTAAATGCAAAATGCAACAAGTGCAAACTACAGTGATGCTTGATCAGAAACTTGCACCAGTACATACAGTTATAAGTGTGATTAATATAATATCTACCACTTCAAGAACTTAAGGATTAATGAAGGAACTTTATGAATGATAGCCCAAAAAATCTAAAATAAGTGTCAGAACCTCAGAGTTTATTCATCTGAATGCATCTTGATTGTTACCCGGATATAGTGCGAAAAACTTATAGAAAAATGAATCAGCTCATACCTGAAAGAGCAAAACCATAAAGAGTAACAGAGGAAAGACAAAGCAGGAGAAGCACAAGTTTGATTTTGGCTATGGGAGTACCTGTGGAGGCACACTTGTAACCCTAAAGCTATGTGGATATGTGTACAAGCTACACTTAGCAAGTTAAAAGAAGCAATACATATAGAATCAAACGACGAAATTATCCTTGGTGTGGTACAATGAAACTCATGAAACTATTATTCTGGTTAAAGCTAAATTTTAGAAGTCTTGTTCCTGAATTAGAAAATGGTAAAAGTAAATGAGAGGTGAAATTTCTTTCACCTTGCGATACATACCCTCATAGCAGGACCCAGAAAAGCAAGATGGTATAGTGATGAAAGTGAAACCAAACTTACACTATTACTGCAGTTGAAGACAAAGATTAGAAGTCTTGTTTCTGAATTGGAAATACAAAAAGTAATGAGAGGTGAAATTTCTTTTACCTTGCCATATATGTTCTCATACCAGACTTGATATTTCTGTCTCTTCCGAGTAATGAAATTTTGGGTGAATTATACCAACTACTATAGGAAAACAACCCTTCTTCAAGCCATTAATCTATCAAACAATAAGCTAAACCCAAATTTAGGAACCCATAATTACACAATAAGATCTACTACACTTAAGCAAAAGGTAACAACTTAAGCTAACAAATGCAACATTGACGAAAACATAAATCGACGAAACAAAGATGGAAAGATGTACGTTAGTAGAGGTCCTCTAAATCCCTGAAAATCCCAAATTTAGGAACCCATAATTACACAATATAGCAGCTTTGAAGTAATGTTTATATGTATACCAACATATTAGAACAACTACATGCAGTTGTAGACACATAAATTTTATTGGATTTCACTCATACAAAATTTGAATTAAATCCATGTTTATTTGGGTTGAATAATTAATTTGGGCTTTACAAATAAATAAGTTCATTTTTATTAAATTCAAGTCCAAGGTCCATTTCACCTTGAAGCCTAAACTCATGCCATGTGTCACAATGACTAGGCATTCAAGACCAACAAGGTGACGCCACGTGTCCAAATAAGGTGGTAGTCCCAGTCAAATGCAAGAACCAATCACAATGCGCCAAGTGTTAAAATGACATCCTTTGACCAATCACAAGCAACCTTGTCCACTCTCTACAACTATAAATAGGGTATAGACATGACATTCAAAAGGGAGGAAGAAAACCCTTCAAGAAGCATTCTACAATTGGAGAAAGCTACAACACCAACTGTATAGTTCTTCGAAGGAGTGATCAACGGAGTTCTTCCCGGAGATCGACTTGAATAGACGAAGTACTTCACTACGTTCCCGGAGATCAAATACATCTCAAGGAGGTCTACATCATCCTACATTCAAGAAATACGCTATTGAAGGCCCTCGAATCACGGAGAAGTTTTGGCATAAAAAAAACTCTTCAACAAGCATTCGACAATTGAAGAAAGCTACAACATCAACTACATAGCTCTTCGAAGGAGTGGTCAATGAAGTTCTTCCCGGAGATCAATTTGAAACGACGAAACGCTTTCCGACGTTCCCGGTGAACAACAACATCTCAAGGAGGTCTACATCATCCAACAATTCGAGAAATGCATTACTGAAGGCCCTCAAATCTTGGAGTAGCTTAGGAGAGAAGAATCAAGAGAACAACAGAATTGTACCCACAACGATTCATCAATAAAAATCACATTTTCTTTTATTTATTTTGCTTGCAGTTAATTTTCCGCGCTTACGAAAAGTTGTTGCGAACATCAGTAAACAAAGTACAATAGTACATGGCAACCAAACGCGTTCCAATATTGGAGGAAAGGATCATGAAAGCAAGCAAGGAAAGCAGGCGAGGTAAGAAAGCAGCACTTTTTGTTTTCCTACTGTTTGTCGAAATTCCCAACAAATAGCAACTTGTGTTGTTGCAAGCAAAGCTAGCAGACAACCAAATAAAAATTGACGTGGTAATTTAGATTAGCAAAGAGAACATTGAAGAACACATAAACCCAACAATCAAGCCAAATCGCACCTCAAGTAAGAAAGTTTAGCAAATCTAAGAAGCAACACTTGAGATTCAAAACAGAATTAGAATCTATTGAGATCGAAATAATCAAGAAAGTATCATACGAAAGCTAACAATTGCAATTGCAAACCTTGAAGTCAATAATAAAACGATAAAGAAACTTATTCTGAAAAACCATAATATAGATTAATATGGATCGACCAATTGACCTAACATATGAAAAACTAAGACATAAAACTAATTGAGAGAACAAGAATAAAGAAAATATTTTAACCTAATAATACTCTCAATACCGTATTGCAGCAACTTCAGTAAGAACATCCATAGCAAGAGTTGTAATGGTCCTGACCTTTTTGGTTTCATCTTTAAGTCGAGGTTCAATAATTTCCATTAAAGACACCAAATGTGGTTGAATAGCATCCGAACCAACAAGAAGAGCAGTAGAACGCATGAGAATCGCGATTTTATGAACAATCATAATACCTGTATGACGAGCCTGCCAAGATTTCATGTTCCAACAAGTTTCTCTTAATAATGGAAGTATAGCAGGAATACCTAATGTAGATGCAACAATACTAAAACATACAGCAGCTCCGTTCCTGACATATTCATCCATGTCGTTAATATCGTGACGCATTACATCAATCATAGTAGCTATACCAACTGTTTTGCTAAAATCAGATATGATTTCTGTTCCTCTTGCACGAAGATTATTGTCCTCATGAATTATCATTGGAGTAGTTAAAATAATAACTCTGTGCACAATTCTCTTCCTCTCTTCTTCTGGAAGCAAATTCAGAGAAGGGAGCTTCTTTCTCTCCAAAGTTATTTGCTCCTCCGCCATCTGCATAGTTTGTTCGTCCAGCTGGTCCATCTTCTTCTTGAGTCCTGAATCAATTTTTCGAATGCAATGTGATTAAAAAGAACAAAAATAACCCAATATATAGACAAATCAATCCTAATTAGAATGAGATTCAAATTAACAAAAATTTAAACTAAAAATTTCTCCCTAAAACTAATTTGGGACGGATAAGGATTAATGAAAATATAAGCATACTACTTAAATTTGGCCTAAATAGATATTTATGTTGGATTTTATTTGCCCTAACTTTCTTACCATAAAGAGATTTTCCTTTTAGGAAAAGGTTTAATATTTTGACGTAGAAAAGGTTTTAGCATTCTATAAAGGGAAAATGCATAAGTATCCCCAACATATGCCCGAAATTTCATAGACACACTTATACTATACTAAAGTCCTATTACTCCCGAACTTATTTTATAAATAATTTTCTACCCCTTTTTGGCCTACGTGGCACTATTTTGTGGGCCCAACGCGTGTTGACAATTTTTTCAAGGATAGTGCCACGTATGCCAAAAAGGGGTAGAAAATTATTTATAAAATAAGTTCGGGGGTAATAGGACCTTAGTATAGTATAAGTGTGTCTCTGAGATTTCGGGCATAGGTTAGGAGTACTTATGCATTTTCCCTTCTATAAATATAGGATTGTTCCTTCTAATTTAATTAGCATTCACAATATAGTCCTAGAATTTTGAGACTTTTGGTTATGGGGGAGAATTTGTGAACCTCTTTGTATTTGAGTGAATTGGTTGATGTTATTTCTCTCTATATTTTGTACTCTCATATTTATTGTGGATGTAGGTTGATTGATCAAATCTCGTTAAATCTTTGTGTTTCTTGATGTATTTCTCGTTTGTCTTCTTACTCATGGTCTTTCGAGGTTTGTTTTGCTAGCTTTTGCATTACATCTGCTTATTTTCAATCCTAACAATTTATGCCTTTAATTTTTGGATTATTTGTTGTGTATATCCAAAATTGGAAAGGAGGAGGCAGAGACGGAGCTAGATGAGATTTATGGATTCGAACGAAGCTTTTTCGTAAATTTTGTATTTATATTAGAAAATTAAATAAATATATATATATATATATATATATTAACTTGTGAATCTCTTCCCCAAACTTCTAATCATGCTGGGGTAGACATGCACATTTATTTATTATGAGCTTACGTGTTGACATGCATGTTTGCCATGTGTATTCTAACAAAACTTCCACGTCTCTGCTCTCAATCACTTAATTGTCAAAAAATTCTGGCTTTGGTTGTTGGGAGCTAGATCAATATTATTCAATGGCGGTGAAACTCTTCGTTGTTGCTCTCTTCTTCTCATTGTGTATTCTCTTCCCTCTGGCTTCAGCTAATTCCACCGACTTCCACTATTGCAGTGAGTTTTCGTTCTCGAATTCATAATTTGTATATTTTACGAGTATCAATTTTGAATGATGTAATTTAGTTGAGTGTTATATGAGCAAATCAGAGGCAAGTTCAAGATTTAAATTCAATGGGTTTAACTTTTAAGATTTTCATCAATGACCTCATTGTATTGTTAAAATTATGTGTTCAGATCTAATATTTACTATGATTATAGTAGGTATATATATTTTGTGTCGAAAGTTATGGATTCAGATGAACTCGGTATTGAAGAATACATCCACCCAATGAGCTGATCCGGGGAATATATATAACCTTGGCCTCTACCTCTTTAATAGCTAGTTTTTGGAGTGTGGTTCTTCTTGGTTGTATCTAAAAAGTAACCAGAGAACTAGTTTCAAATCTAAGATATGATTGAATTGTACTCCGCAATCTGGTACTTTTTATATAATTTCTAAATATTTAAATTTTAAATTAAAAAAATTGAAGATTTTATGTCTGGATTCAAATCTAAACATTAGTTAATTAGTCTAACCCTCGTACTCTAAACAATTGGCTGCACAGCATAATCACAGTAATTGTTAGCTCTTGTATTGACTGTTCACTCTTTGGTTATCCTGCAAAATGTCTGCATTGTTCAAGGTACGTAGTCTCTACCTTATGATACAATGCTCATAATTTTCCTGATTGGCAGAAGGATTCTTATAAAATGTTAATCTAGATTATCTTCGAAAAAACGTAAGACACAACTCTGTACTAAGATTTAAGACTGTTTTTGGTTTAATAACGCAGATAAGAAGGCAAATTATGTTGTTAAGGTCCGTGGATTAGATATCACACCTTACCCTGTCAAAGGAGGTAAAGAGACCACTTTCAGTATTGCTGCGACTACAGGTAATTTCGAGTGATAATAACGTGTTCTTTTGTTTTAATTGGTCTTTAGTTAGTCCTCACTTTCAACTAAAGTTGAGAACATACTCCATGATATAACAAATTATGTTGATTGTTATGGTTATTGTGATTGTCTACTTCATTAGATTGGAAATAATTGGTACTTTTGCATACGATAGGCAGGGGCGGAGCCATGTAAGGCCGAAGGGGGTCACGTAGACGTTGAACTCCTTTTGGTTTCTGTGTGTTTACTTCTTTCATATTTTGAACCTATTTAATGAAAATTCTGGCTCCATCATAGGAGATAGGACACTTGTGTTTTTTTGTGGAAAATGGTGAGTGATTGGTGGCATGATTTGCTGTATAGAAAAAGCTCTAACCTCTTAAAATTAGATGTCAAGAGTGATAATTGCACGGTAATGTGATAAAAGAGTGCTTTGGTAGAAGAATGACTTAAGTGAGTTTTTCTCTTGCAGATGAGAATATCAGTGGCGGAAAGTTAGTGATTGACGTCAAGTACCTTTTCCTTCACGTCCACAAAGAGTCTCATGACATTTGTGAAGAGACATCTTGCCCTGTGTCCGGTGATTTTGTGATTTCTCACTCTCAAGCCTTGCCTGGAATAACTCCTCCTGTAAGTCATCTTTCGAGTTTTGTTCTGATCTTGTCGTGACATAATTTCTGGTCTTTCGTTCTGCATAAATTTTCTTTATAAAAAGGACGTACTCATCTCTCTTTCTTGGATTTCTCGACTCTTGAAAAGTCTTCGAGTACAAATTTGTTGTACCTCTATAGTGAACGGAATGCTGAAATCATATATGCTTTAAATTCACAAGTTATAGTTCTGTTAACTTCATTCCCTGATTTTATCGCTTGTGATAAGCAGATCACAAGTTCATTCTCGTTAGCTAGTTACTTCGGGTTTTTGTTGGCGGTTATGGCTAGCTTCAGCTCTTTATTCGTCCGAGTAAAGATACAATTTTATCTAAAACGAACAATTAATAATTTACAAAAGAGAAATCTTTCAATGGACTTACATGCATTTCATATCTTTACTTGCGATACAATTAGTTGTCAACTCTTGTTTCATTTCCCTGATATTCGTATGATTCTGAAGAAAAATGTTATTTTGCGAGTTTTGTCGAGCTTAACAGAGTGTTTTTATGCATACAGGGTTCATATACTCTTACGATGAGAATGTTTGACGGAAGCAATCACGAACTGTCTTGCATAACCTTTGGCTTCAGTATCAGTTTAATCGCGGAATCAAAATCAGTAGCAGATATGTAGTTAAGTTGTACACTTGTGAACCAGGTGTACACATTATGCTGATCTGCAAATCATGTAAATAAGTTCACTTTTGCAAGAGTTCGTCCCCAACTTTGCTGGCTTTAGGTTTCATGTATAATAAATGGACTCGATGATGTGTTTGGCGCGGATCAAATGTTATGTACATGCCCTCCGGTTTGCTGATTATTATTATTACACGAACACGATCGTGCAATTGATTGATTAAAAAGGATACGTAGATTTTTTTACTACACACTAAACCAGATTTTTGTTTTTTTAAAAATTAACATACTAAGTAAAAAGTTAGTAAATGTAATTTTTGTTTTTTTTTTAGAATCATACAAATATTATCTACATTGCCACATACCCCAATTCCCAAAAAGCCCAATAAAAATTCTCAAATCAACTTTCATCTTCTTCTCTGTTTTCCCCTTTTCTCATCAGAATCAAGCAATGGCGGTGAAATTGATCGTAATTCTCGTGTTCTCAATGTGTATTCTCCTTCCATTTTCATCAGCTAAATCTACCGACTTCCATTATTGCAGTTAGTTTTTCTCCTTCCATTATTGCAGTTAGTTTTTCTCCATTCGCTTCGAATGAGTTCATCATTACATTCGTGCTTCATCTAAATTGCGGGAATGCGGCCCCATGGCACACCCAGAATATGTTCCTCTATTATGCTATTCTGCTCAAATTGCTTCGATTCCTGTTTCTAAAATAGAAAATTTGAGAATTTTACTGTTTTCTTCTTTCCGGCAATTTATGTGATATAATTTGAATTAATCATAGTATTGTGTGTGGTTATAAAATGTTTGCAAGTAGTGATTCTAAACATGTTATAATGTTTGTTTGATTAAAAAAGTACTTGTAAACAGTCCTCATTAGAGGTTGTAAAAAAATGGTTATACATACTAAATTTGCTGCACCACATAATCACAGTAAATGCCCTTGTAATGAGGGGTGGAGCCGGCCAGAGGATGAACTCCTTCGGTAGAAAATTACTATTTATATATGGTTAAAATTACTTTTTATGTTTATACGTAGATGTTGAATCCCTTCTGCTGCTAGTTTGTGTGTTTACTTCTTTCGATTTTGGATCCTCCTTTGCTTGTTCCTTTTTAAAAAAAAATTATCCGGCAATATCTTTTATTCACGGGAAAGCATAGGCACAAACTGTAATATCGATAATCTAGATTCTAATTTCCAACAGCCAGAGTTTTTTGGTTTGATAATGCAGATAAAAAGGGCAATTATGCTGTTAAGGTCAGTGGAGTAGATATAACACCTTATCCTGTTAAAGGAGGTAAAGAGGCTACTTTCAGTATTACTGCAACTACAGGTAATTCGCGTCTTAATTTGTTCTATCTTTTTTGGTTTTTTTAGTCCTTACTCTCGTTCATCAGTAGTTAAGACCTTGATGTAACAAACCCAATAACAAAACCACTCAATTCAAATTCAAACAACCAACAAGTCTATTTCACTAAATCATAATTGAAATTACAAAGGAATTTAAGAACTAAATGGAAATGGAAGAACACAAGTAGAAGAAAGGGATGAGAAGAAGAACTCATAGAAAGGGGATGAGAGGACTGATATTTTTCTCAACAATTTGCATAAACATATTTTACTCTCCCAAGTCTCTATTTATCAACCCGGATCCCACACATAGCCACTTAATCCTATTTTGGGCTGCTTTGTCAATACTGGTCTAGGCCCATTCATAACATTGACGTAGTGATTCGTGATCTGAAATGAGTAAGAAGTTATAATTGATCAACTTGTTGGTTATCTACCATGTGCTTTCTTTAATACCTCGCGTTGCTGCATATTACCAATATGCACTAGTATGGGTCTGTATTAGGTATCTTTTCCCCTTCTTTTGCAGCTACTCGTTATGCTTAGTTTATGTGAGATTTGCAGGACACAGGAAGCTTTTGACCTCTCAAAATTAGATGTCAAGCATGACTAGTGTACATTTCTGGGATAAGAGTTCTTTGGTAGAGAAGTGACACTGAGATTTTCTCTTGCAGATGATAATATCAGTAGCGGAAAGTTGATTATTGACGTCAAGTATCTATTCCTTCACGTCCACCATGAGACTCGTGACATTTGTAAAGAGACATCTTGCCCAGTTTCTGGTGATTTTGTGCTTTCACACTCTCAAGCTTTACCTGGAATTGCTCCTCCAGTAAGTCTTTTTTTCCAGTTTTGCTCTAAACTTGTTATGATATGATTTTGTGCTGCTTCATTCTGCATAACTTTCCTCTATAAGAAGGTGCTCTTGCCTGCATTGTCGAACCTAACAGGGGGTTGGTTTTATACAGGGCCCGTATACTCTTACGATGAAAATGGTGGATGGAAACAATCAAGAATTGTCATGCATAACCTTTGGCTTCAGTATGAGTTTAATTGCAGAATCCACAGCAGTAGCAGATGCTTAAGTCGTCATAACTGTTGATTCTTGTACATACATTACTATATGTTATTTTTTATTGAGTCGAGGATCTATTGGAAATATCATCTCTACCTATGAGGTAGGGGTATAGTCAGTGTACATTCTACCCTTCCCACACCCCATTTTATGGGATTACACCCTGTACATGTTGTTCGTGTGGTATAAAATCTCGTTTTCATGTGAAGTCTGTCTCAGTTTCTCTTTAGTAGATCGGAGGCAGTTGTCAGAAGTACCAACTGATCAGGTTGGGGTGAATTTAATGGGTGAAATATGGAGTACGTGAACATGGATTTTTTCTTGAATATGTCGCGTCAATTCATTTATCACCAAGACAAATAGAAATGGGATAAAAGTTAATTCCCGATACAACCTCATCATGATTGGAAGTTCTTTAGGTCTCCTTTCCTACCGTCCTCACTTGAGTCTTGAATCCATCGTACATGTCCTTAATTGCACACTATAAATAATGAGTACACCTCTAACATCGAAACATCTCCAATAGAACTTCTCACGGACTTTGTCTATACTTTTTGTAAGTTAATAAAAAATTCATCTTCTCATATTGTTCCATCAGTCTCTTTACTAGATAAATGATTTTTATAATTGATCGGCCAGACATAAATCTAAATTGATTCTCAGCAATAAACACAAGCTCTTCGCACTCTCATCTTCATCACTCTTTCCCAAATTTATATTGTGTGACTAGGCAACTTGACTCACAAATATGTGTTCTTAATCATATGCTTGAGAAAAGAAAATCTTAATATCTAATTAAACAACACAACATATAATAGAACTCTCCACTAACAATAGAACACCTCACTTTTCATTATGACCAATTAAACCGTTCAACTCAAACATTAACTCTAAAAATGCATATCTAAATATCTTTAAATGGAGTGGAATCTAAATATACATTTTTAAAGTTGAAATACTTATGGAACCAACTCTCAAATTAAGTTAAAATATGTACTCTTTGTTCCTTTTTAGTTGTCATGTATTTTTTTTAAAGTTAAATAATAAAAAAAATTTATCAATATTTATGATATCGAAAAGTTCAATATGGCAAGTAAAAAAAGACGGAGGGAGTAAATATTTAGTTGTGACAACATGTTATTTGTGTTTGGTAGAATATAATAATTGTTGTACCTTCTCTGGCCTTGCCCAAATTGTCCCGCTGTCTTTTCTACTCCTTTGAGTCTTCACAGAATCAGAGTTCTCTAACAATGGCGATTCAAAGGTTACCATTACTACTGGTCTTTCTACTAATCTCATCTCTGACCCTTTTAGCACAATCGCGCAGCGACACGAACCATGTGTACTCACCATGTGCCGACGCAAAAGTGCAGAGATCGGATGGGTTTAGCTTTGGAATAGCATTTGCTTCAAGAACATCATTCTTCGTCAACAGCTCAGTTCAATTGTCTCCCTGTGATAAGAGGCTATCTCTTTCGTCGGCAAATTCTCAAATTGCCGTGTTCAGACCTAAAGTGGATGAGATCTCTCTGCTTACAATCAACACTTCCAATTTCTTCCCTGTATGATCTCAACCTCAATTAACTTTGTCTTTGTTTCTGTTGCTTATATTTGAGTTATACTGTTAATTGTTTGTATAAGGCTGAAAGTTGAGTTTTTTTTGTTTACTTGGGGAAATATGGTGAAATGGGGTTAGATCTGAAATGGGGTTGTTCTGGTTTTAGGTTCGCTTTGGGCGGTTTTTGTTGTGGGGTGGGTGGGGGGCTAAGGAGGATTGCAAAAGGATGTAATTTTTTGTATAAGGCTGAAAGCTGAAGTTTTTTTTTTGAAATTTGGCTGAAAGTTGATTTTTTTTTTTGAAATTGGGCTAAAAGTTGAAGTTTTCATGATTGCTGGGGAAATATGGTGAAATGGGGTTAGATTTGAAATGGGTTTGTTCTGCTTTTAGGTTTAGTTGGGGTGGGGTTGGAAGCTAAGTGAGAATGAAAAGGGTTTGCAATCGTTCTGATTTGAAGTGTTGATTATGTATTGTGAAGGTAGAAAGTTATAGCCACAACTTTTTGGACATTGTTTTCCTAGATAGGAGGATGGAGAGGTCGAGTATTAGGGTAGACGTTTAGTAGGTATTTAGTTTTCCTTAGTATTATTATTATTACTCTCATAATACCATCTTAGTCTTTGATTTTATTATTACCTGTTGTTTCGCTCCGGTCCTTTGCTTTAGTTAATGTGTTATTTGTTGTTGCTATTGTTCTCTTTATCCTTTATTTAAAGCATGACTTATTCATTACCATATTTTCGTTCCATACTTGACTATGATATGCTTTGCTTGAGTCGGTGGCCTATCGCAAACAACCTCTCTACCTTCACAGGGTAGGGGTAAGGTTGTGTATACACTGGGTATGCTGTTGGTGTCTTCCTAGAAAAAAGACAACTATGTCAGCCCCAATTTATGTGAGGGTGTTTGTCTGGTTATGAAGATTAAGAAAAGAAGCTTTTAAAACTGGTGATTTGAACATACAATAGACAATTCGGTGGCTAAATGAGAGGTTTAAAGGTAAATTATTTCTAAATATAGAATAGCGTTAGTTGTTTTGGTACAGACGAAATAGTAAAATATGATACACAAATTGAGATAGAGTACTTGGTATGTATGACGAATGTAATGTGGTTGGGTTTTCTTCTGCTGATGTTTTAAACTTTTTATTTCATTCACTTTAGCTAATGGAGGTCAATTATTTCCTAAGCATCTGTTTTCCATATATTTCTTGTGGCTGAGTATCCGTTGGTTTTAGTTCTAGAACTAAAACTGTTGGACTTGATTAATATTCTTATAGTGATGAATGCTAGTTTCTTTCTTTGTAACAATATCCCATGATTTGTGACTATCTTAATTTTCCTTTAGTATCATTACTGTTTGGGTATGTGCTGATGAATTCCTGTTTCTTTCATAATCTGATGTTTGCCTCCTACCACTAATTCTATCTTACTCTTGCTGGTCCTGTCTGCCTGATGTCTATGACTTAATGCAGTCTTGAATTTTGTTTTTGGAGTGATTGGTAGCACCAGTGTGCAACTTATAGGTTGACATAAATTAGTAATACACCATCATTAAGAGAGCAATTGCAATCATTTATATATTTGTTGAAAGCAATTGTATGCAACTTATAGCTAACTTTTAATAAAGATTAGTATTAAAATATCAACAGTAAAGAATTGTTATCAATTATATACTTAAAGATCCAAGTAACTGAGCTTAGAAAATATAGCAAATGGTGCTAAAAGTTTCTTTACTATTTAAGAAAATAGGATATGAGTGTTGAACTATGATTTGTGGTGTTCCAAACGCCAGCTGCCTTTAGCCATCAGCATCTTCTCCTGTATGACCACAATATGGGAAGTGGGAACTACATGGACCCATTTGCACATCATGTTAATATTAAGGACATTTTCAGATATCGGGTTAACTTTAAGCTTGGGGTGGATTAAGTCTGTATCATAAAAATAGGTTCTCCTCTTTAGTTAAGTACTAACTCTAAGTTTTGGGGCAATAGGTTCCTTTATCCCCTTTTACCTTTCATGATAAATTGGCTAAACTCATAAAAAACAAAAACAAAAAATAGCATTGGAATCGATTTTTATTGACCAATCAGAATTGTCTTCCAGGATCTATAATTGCCTCAAAATGTCCAATATATATACTTTCGCACATAGGAGATCGAGACACAGCCCCAGGGCTATGGGGAAAGATGTAGATCGATCGCCCTAGATAGACAACTACATAGAGGGCCTCTTACCAGTCTATATATTCTTTGATTTCGTTCCCCCCCGTAACAGATTCTCTCGATCCAGCCGAACTTACTTCGATGTAAGATGGAGTTGAAGTCTTAGGGTAAGCAGCTCCGTACGCCATTCGGATATCAGCAAGTCCGTATAACTTCAAAAGAATCATTCTTTATGAATCAAGTACCATTCAAACAAAGGGTGCATTGCCTCTTTGAGTGAAGAAGAGAGGGGCTTTGTATAGACACTCTTGAGCCATGTTCGTCGCCCTAGGGTTACCATTCTTTCATTTCATTCTATTGATTGGCTCTAGCTCCAAAGAACATATACATGGAGCTATGTCGACTTACGTACGTCTTGTTGACTAAACGTGGTAAATATGTCTTTTCACCTTCTGATGCCTTACCCTTGTGCTATTTGACCCCTCAACTTGATGATCACTGCAATTGAAGCAGCAATTAGCTTCTGACATGGTTTCTGGGGTTTGCACAATGGCTGACCTTCTGAGGGATCTCATCTTCGGCATTCGTTCCCTCCTCTGCACCTCGTACTCACTCTGTCATCCATAATTGGCAACATGGCAAGCATGGAATGCCCTACAGCCGCCTCTATCTGTCTTACTGTATTCTTCAATTAAGGTTGAGACGAAGAAGAGCTGATGGATTCCCAAATTAGGTTTTTGTAATGGACAGCCCAATACTGGTGCTGCTGGTTTGGGCTTAGTTGTACCTTCTGCTTGCTGATTTCAATTTTCAATGGAGGCCCATTTCCACCTTCTATCATTTAGGGATGGAGGGAGTAGTGCTTAATGGTCCTTAGTTTTTTTTTTGTCTATCAGAGAGCTTTAGTGAGAAAGCAATATGCTCTACTTACTGTGTTTTAGGGTTCACGGCAGCAGGGTGAGTGGGTGCTGGGAATGTGAATCATTTCAAATACCATTTATTGTCTTGTTCTCGCATTTATACTCAAGAATCAAGATTAATGGTTGTGCCAATGTTTCCAAACTGTAACTTGTAGAATATGAAGGGTCTGCCAATGTTGTCAATACTTTAGAATACGTTTCCAAAGCTTTACATACCTGCAATATGACCGTGCTATTAGTTGACTATCATCTTGGAAAATGTGCCTTACCTTTTTATCTTTGCCATTGTTGCTCTAGGAGTGAAAAACGGGTGGGACAGATGGGATATGGATGGGTTGAAAATGGGTTTTAGAAAAGGAAATGTCCAATCCACCCATATTTAACGTGGATAAAAAATGGGTTAACCGACAGATAATATGGATATACATATCATACATGGCTTTAGGAATAGTCTGGTGAGAACACAAGCTAAAAGCCAAAATAATCT